ACTGTGCATTTGTGGGTGAACGTGACAGTGAAATTGCCCACATCAGTGTGTGCTCCACATTACTGTGTGTCCTGCATATTATTACACTGTGTCCTGCACATTACTCTTGAGTCCTGTAGATATAGTGATGTACAAGGAATGGCACTCTGTGTCCTAGAACCATAGACATCCACAGGACAGAAGGCCATTCGGCCCAGCATGTTTGTGCTGGCTCCCTCGAGAGCATTCCTCAGTCCCACTTACCCACACCCCTTTATACATTTTCTGTCTCGTTCCCTCTTGAAGGCCAATGTGGATTCTGCTTCAACCACTGCTCCCCGGACAGGTTATTCCACATCCTAACCTCTCTGTACCCGAGAAACAACCTCCTGTAATCTTCCCCGTTTTCTCGTTTGCTAACTGTCTTAAGTTGATGGCCTCGATCCACTGATCGGTGGAATTAATTTTCTCCTGGCGGGTTCTATCAAAACCCTCATCGTTTTAAAGGCATTGATCAGGTTTTAAATGCTATAATTTTGAAGACTTCTAGTAAAAAGTTCCAGTTCCAGTTCTTCCATATCTACCCTCATAGGTCAAACCATTGATCCCTGGTATCATGTGCCCCTTTTTTTAATAAGACTCCTACGTGGGACCTTATCAAAAGCTTTCTGAAAATCCATATCTACATCCACAGCATTACCTTCCCCTATTTTCTCAGTTATTAGGCAAGACTTGTCCTGAATAAATCCACGCTGAGTCTTTGTGTGCTGTACACACACTTTGTCCTGTACACACACAGACTGTGTCCTGTACACACACACACACATACACACGCTGTGTGTGCGTACAGGACAGTGTGCGGACAGTGAGCATGACACCCAACTCTATCTCTATGTCTCTTCCCCCCCCACCTCCACCCCCCCCTTTGACTCCAGGACCCACTGCTGTCCTGACAAATGTCTGTCAGACATCAAGTCCTGGATGAGAGCTAACTTTCTGCAGTTGAACGTCACCAAGACCGAGGCTCTCCTGATTGGCTCCCGTCAGCGCCTCCTCACCTCAGGCACTGACAGCATCGCCATCCCTGGGGCTCACTCCCCCTCACTGAGCCAGTCCGGAACCTTGGGGTCTTGTTTGACCCTCAACTATCCTTTCTACCCCACATCTGCGCCATGACACAACCTGACTTCCCCCACCTCCGCAACGTCGCCCGGCTCCGACACTGTCTCACACCGCAGGTCCCCGAGACCCTCATACACACCTTCATTACATCGAGGTTTAACTATGCAAACTCACTGCTTGTCGGCCCCCCAACTCCTCCCTCCATAGGCTGCAGATCATCCAGAACTCTGCAGCCCGTGTCCTCTCCCGCACCAGGCTCCGTGACCCTATCACCCCCATCCTTGCCCAACTCCACTGGCTCCCCATCACACAGAGGATGTCCTCCAATGCCTTGCTCGTCTCTACTTCTGTGACCTGCTGATCCCATATCATCTTGTCCGCTCCCTCCGCTCAGCGGGCTCTGGCCTGCTCCACGTCCCCCACCCCCTCCGGCCCACCCCACCATTGTCGGTCGGGACCCTCCTCTTCGATCGTGCCTTTGGTCGCCCTCCCACCTCTCTGCTTTCCCTCACCCCTACTCCACCCCTCCCCCATGCTCGGGTCTCAACCCCTGACTGTCCAGTGCCTTGGGACATCCTCCCGACGTGAAAGGTGCTCTATAAATGTCATTTTGTCGTTGTTTTTGTCTTCTTTGGAACTCCATCCCACATTCCCTTCGCCCTCGCTCCCTCCGCTGCCTCCTTCAAGCCATGACTCAAGACCCTCCTCTTCAACTGCATATCCGGCCACCGTCCTTCCCTCTCCCCACCCTCCCTGTTCCCCCCCCCCCCCCCAGCTCAGGTCCAAATCCCTGACTGTCCAATGCCTTGGGACATCCGCCTGACGTGTAATACACATGCAATTTGTATTGTATTGTACACTAGACACACACTGTGAGGTGTATAGACACACACTGCCCTGTACACACACTGCCCTGTACACACACACTGCCATGTACACACACTGCCCTGTACACACACTGCCCTGTACACATGCATACACACCGCCCTGTACAAATATACACACACTGCCCTGTAAACACACACTACCCTGCACACACACACACTGCCATGTACACACACTGCCATGTACACACACACGGCCCTGGACACACACACTGCCCTGGATACACACTGTCATGTAAACACACACTGTCATGTACACACACACACTGACACGTACAGCTACACACAGCCATGTACACCCACACTGCTCTGTACACACACACTGCCATGTACATACACACTGCCCTGTACACACACATACACTGCCCTTTATACACACACACTGCCCTGTACACACACATACACACTGCCCTGTACAAATACACACACACTGCCCTGTACACACACAGACACACTGCCCTGTACAAATACACACACACTGCCCTGTACAAATACACACACACTGTCCTGTACACATACATACACACTGCCCTGTACACTGTGAGCTGTACAGACACACACACTGTGAGGTGTACAGACACACACACTGTGAGGTGTACAGACACACACACTGTGAGGTGTACAGACACACGCACTGTGAGGTGTACAGACACACGCACTGTGAGGTGTACAGACACACGCACTGTGAGGTGTACAGACACACGCACTGTGAGGTGTATAGACACACGCACTGTGAGGTGTACAGACACACACACTGTGAGGTGTACAGACACACGCACTGTGAGGTGTACAGACACACACACTGTGAGGTGTACAGACACACACACTGTGAGGTGTACAGACACACACACTGTGAGGTGTACAGACACACGCACTGTGAGGTGTACAGACACACGCACTGTGAGGTGTACAGACACACGCACTGTGAGGTGTACAGACACACGCACTGTGAGGTGTACAGACACACGCACTGTGAGGTGTACAGACACACGCACTGTGAGGTGTACAGACACACGCACTGTGAGGTGTACAGACACACGCACTGTGAGGTGTACAGACACACGCACTGTGAGGTGTACAGACACACGCACTGTGAGGTGTACAGACACACGCACTGTGAGGTGTACAGACACACGCACTGTGAGGTGTACAGACACACGCACTGTGAGGTGTACAGACACACGCACTGTGAGGTGTACAGACACACGCACTGTGAGGTGTACAGACACACGCACTGTGAGGTGTACAGACACACGCACTGTGAGGTGTACAGACACACGCACTGTGAGGTGTACAGACACACGCACTGTGAGGTGTACAGACACACGCACTGTGAGGTGTACAGACACACGCACTGTGAGGTGTACAGACACACGCACTGTGAGGTGTACAGACACACGCACTGTGAGGTGTACAGACACACGCACTGTGAGGTGTACAGACACACGCACTGTGAGGTGTACAGACACACGCACTGTGAGGTGTATAGACACAGACACTGTGAGGTGTATAGACACAGACACTGTGAGGTGTACAGACACACGCACTGTGAGGTGTATAGACACAGACACTGTGAGGTGTATAGACACACGCACTGTGAGGTGTACAGACACACGCACTGTGAGGTGTACAGACACACGCACTGTGAGGTGTATAGACACAGACACTGTGAGGTGTATAGACACAGACACTGTGAGGTGTATAGACACACGCACTGTGAGGTGTATAGACACAGACACTGTGAGGTGTATAGACACACGCACTGTGAGGTGTACAGACACACGCACTGTGAGGTGTACAGACACACGCACTGTGAGGTGTATAGACACAGACACTGTGAGGTGTATAGACACAGACACTGTGAGGTGTATAGACACACGCACTGTGAGGTGTACAGACACACGCACTGTGAGGTGTATAGACACACGCACTGTGAGGTGTATAGACACAGACACTGTGAGGTGTATAGACACACGCACTGTGAGGTGTATAGACACACGCACTGTGAGGTGTATAGACACACGCACTGTGAGGTGTATAGACACAGACACTGTGAGGTGTATAGACACACGCACTGTGAGGTGTATAGACAGCACAGACACACTGTGAGGTGTATAGACACACGCACTGTGAGGTGTATAGACACACGCACTGTGAGGTGTACAGACACACGCACTGTGAGGTGTATAGACACACGCACTGTGAGGTGTATAGACACACGCACTGTGAGGTGTATAGACACGACTGTGAGGTGTATAGACACACGCACTGTGAGTGTAAGACACAGCACTGTGAGGTGTATAGACACACGCACTGTGAGGTGTATAGACACACGCACTGTGAGGTGTATAGACACACGCACTGTGAGGTGTACAGACACACGCACTGTGAGGTGTATAGACACACGCACTGTGAGGTGTATAGACACAGACACTGTGAGGTGTATAGACACAGACACTGTGAGGTGTATAGACACACGCACTGTGAGGTGTATAGACACACGCACTGTGAGGTGTATAGACACACGCACTGTGAGGTGTATAGACACACACACTGTGAGGTGTATAGACACACGCACTGTGAGGTGTATAGACACACGCTGCACTGTACACATTGTGTCCTGTGTATACACACATACACTGTCCTGTATACACTGTGAGGTGTACAGACAAACAGACACACACACACAGACAGACACACACACAGACCGACACACAGACACAGACACACACACAGACAGACACACAGACAGACACACACACACAGACACACACAGACAGACACACACAGACAGACACACACACAGACAGACACACAGACAGACACACACACACAGACACACACACACAGACACACACACACAGACAGACACACAGACACACACAGACAGACACACACACACAGACAGACACATAGACAGACACACACACACAGACACACACACACACACACACAGACACACACACACAGACAGACACACACTCTCGGGCTGAGGCCCGGGACCTGCTGAGGGAGTGCTGTGGCGGTGGCTGTGCCGGGGCCTGGGCTCGGGGTCGGGGCTGTGTGCTCGCGGCCTCTGGGCTCAAGGCAGCGGGAGGCGGCGGCACCGGGAGCAGGTACAGGGGGAGAGGGGACAGGGGACAGGGGGACAGGGGGAGAGGGGGAGAGGGTACAGGGGGACAGGGGAGAGGGGAGAGGGGGAGAGGGGTGTGCACACGGTCAACACCATGACACCTGAGGGAGAGAGTGAGTGTGAGGGAGAGAGTGAGTGTGAGGGAGAGAGTGAGTGTGAGGGACAGTGTGTGAGGGACAGTGTGTGAGGGAGAGAGTGAGTGTGAGGGACAGTGTGTGAGGGAGAGAGTGAGTGTGAGGGACAGTGTGTGAGGGAGAGAGTGAGTGTGAGGGACAGTGTGTGAGGGAGAGAGTGTGTGAGGGAGAGAGTGTGTGAGGGAGAGAGTGAGTGTGAGAGAGAGAGTGAGTGTGAGGGACAGTGTGTGAGGGAGAGAGTGAGTGTGAGGGACAGTGTGTGAGGGAGAGAGTGAGTGTGAGGGAGAGAGTGAGTGTGAGGGACAGTGTGTGAGGGAGAGAGTGAGTGTGAGGGACAGTGTGTGAGGGAGAGAGTGAGTGTGAGGGACAGTGTGTGAGGGAGAGAGTGAGTGTGAGGGACAGTGTGTGAGGGAGAGAGTGTGTGAGGGAGAGAGTGTGTGAGGGAGAGAGTGAGTGTGAGGGAGAGAGTGAGTGTGAGGGACAGTGTGTGAGGGAGAGAGTGAGTGTGAGGGACAGTGTGTGAGGGAGAGAGTGAGTGTGAGGGAGAGAGTGAGTGTGAGGGACAGTGTGTGAGGGAGAGAGTGAGTGTGAGGGACAGTGTGTGAGGGAGAGAGTGAGTGTGAGGGACAGTGTGTGAGGGAGAGAGTGAGTGTGAGGGACAGTGTGTGAGGGAGAGAGTGTGTGAGGGAGAGAGTGTGTGAGGGAGAGAGTGAGTGTGAGGGAGAGTGAGTGTGAGGGACAGTGTGTGAGGGAGAGAGTGAGTGTGAGGGACAGTGTGTGAGGGAGAGAGTGTGTGAGGGAGAGAGTGTGTGAGGGAGAGAGTGAGTGAGGGAGAGAGTGAGTGTGAGGGACAGTGTGTGAGGGAGAGAGTGAGTGTGAGGGAGAGAGTGTGTGAGGGAGAGAGTGAGTGTGAGGGAGAGAGTGTGTGAGGGAGAGAGTGAGGGAGGAGAGAGTGAGTGTGAGGAACAGTGTGTGAGGGAGAGAGTGAGTGTGAGGGACAGTGTGTGAGGGAGAGAGTGTGTGAGGGAGAGAGTGTGTGAGGGAGAGAGTGAGTGTGAGGGAGAGTGAGTGTGAGGGACAGTGTGTGAGGGAGAGAGTGTGTGAGGGAGAGAGTGAGTGTGAGGGAGAGTGAGTGTGAGGGACAGTGTGTGAGGGAGAGAGTGAGTGTGAGGGACAGTGTGTGAGGGAGAGAGTGAGTGTGAGGGAGAGAGTGTGTGAGGGAGAGAGTGAGGGAGGAGAGAGTGAGTGTGAGGAACAGTGTGTGAGGGAGAGAGTGAGTGTGAGGGAGAGAGTGTGTGAGGGAGAGAGTGTGAGTGAGCGAGTGTGTGAGGGAGAGAGTGTGAGTGAGCGAGTGTGTGAGGGAGAGAGTGTGAGTGAGCGAGTGTGTGAGGGAGAGAGTGAGTGTGAGGGAGAGAGTGAGTGTGAGGGAGAGTGTGTGAGGGAGAGTGTGTGTGAGGGAGAGAGTGTGAGGGAGAGAGTGAGTGAGGGAGCGAGTGAGTGAAGGAGAGAGTGAGTGAGGGAGAGAGTGAGTGTGAGGGAGAGAATGAGGGAGAATGTGAGGGAGAGAATGAGGGAGAGTGTGAGGGAGAGAGTGAGGGTGAGTATGAGGGAGAGAGTGTGTGAGGGACAGTGTGTGAATGAGAGTGAGTGTGAGGGAGAGAGTGAGTGTGAGGGAGAGAGTGAATGTGAGGGAGAGAGGGGGTATGAGGGAGAGAGTGAGTGAGGGAGAGAGTGTGAGAGATTGTGAGTGAGAGAGTATGAGAGAGAGTGTTAAAGACTGAGCAAAGACTGAGTGAGTACGTGAGGAAGAGAGAGAGAGTGAGTGAGAGAGGGAGTGCATGAGGGAGAAGGAGTGAGAGAGTGTGAGAGAGAATGAGTGTGAGGGAGTTAATGAGTGAATGAGAGATAGTGAGACAGTGAGTGGGTGTGAGAGAGAGACAGAGTGTGTGAGAGAGTGTGAGAGTGTGTGTGAGAGAGAGAGAGACAGAGTGTGAGAGTGTGTGTGAGAGAGAGACAGAGTGTGAGAGAGAGAGACAGAGTGTGAGAGTGTGTGTGTGAGAGAGAGACAGAGTGTGAGAGTGTGCGTGAGAGAGAGAGACAGAGTGAGAGTGTGAGAGAGAGGGAGACAGAGTGACGGTATATTTGTGGGTGAAACCCAGCAGCCACAGCCCAGCACAACCCAGCCCAGGGAGAGCGAGCGGGCGGGCGGGAGGGAGGGAGGGAGGGAGTGCGCAGCGTCCCACAGACAGTCGTGGATTGAGTGACCAAATTATTACTGTTTTAATTACTATTTATTGTTTTGAAGGGAGTATTACCCCCGTAAAAGCGATTTGCCAATCGACTAACAACCTGGTTCCTACTTATTGCTGAGTAAACAGGTGTGTGCGGGGAGTCAGGAAACTTGCCCAATGTTTCACTCTGCAAATGGCCTCCTCATATGGGGAGGGGGGGCTCCACAGGGACCTCGTAGCTATGTGACTCTTGCAGGTTATCCTGGGAGAGTGTCCCCCCCCCCCCCCGCCCCTCCCCACACACACACACACACTCACACATACTGAAAGATTCCTGTGGAGATAATCAGAGCGCTTCGCAGGGCTTGCTGCAAAGCGTAGTGACTGTATTTGTTGGGTGAATGTGGAAGGCGCTTTGCACACAGCAATTTTATTTGGGGGTGTTGTTTGGCTGGGACACAATACCTTCTCTTTCCGAATAGCGCCGTGGGATCTTTAACCTCCACCTGAACAGGCAGACGGGACCTCAGTTTAATCTGAACGAGGGCGGTATTTGGAATGTCAGCCTAAAACTGACAACACAATCTTTAATTAAGTTTTACATGTTACATTGATATTGAATTCACTTTACATTGAATTCAATCGTATGAGGTTCTTTCAGACAACGTCTCAACGTAATAGGACGCTCTGTCAAAGGCAAACGTGATTATTATAAAGTTTGTGATCAAGTGATTTTTTTTCTCCTGTGCTTGGTTTTTAAGTGTGCTGTGGTCTGGTTTCCTGCCCCAGACTCGGAGTCTGTGTCCATCACGGAAGGCTGTCCGGAACTTTTCCAGCTGTAAGTATGCTGTACTTTGTGAATCATAGAATCATAGAATATTACAGCACAGAAGGAGGCCATTCGGCCCATCGTGCCTGTGCGGCTCTTTGGAAGAGCCACCGAATCAGCCCCACTCCCCCGCTCTTTCCCCATATCATTGCAAATGTTTCCTCTTCAAGTTCCTATCCAATCCCCGTTTGAAAGTTGCTATTGAATCTGTTTCCACCCTTTCAGGCCGCGCATTCCAGAGCATAACAACTCTGTGTAACAAAAATTATCCTCATCTCATCTCCCCTCTGGTTCTTTTGCCAATTATCTTGAATCTATGTCTCCTGGTTACCAACCCACCTGCCAGTGGAAACAGTTTCTCCCTATCTGCTCTTATCAAAACCCCTCATGATTTTTAATGTGCAGAACAGGTGAGGTAACAATTCAGAAAAGTAAAAGAAATGTAAATACCTGTGTTCCCACGGAACAAGCACCACAACCAATAGTCTTTGACTAGATTTCTTAATGTTTCTCCGACTGTTTGTGCGCAATTGGCTGCCGTGTTTCGCCAATAAAACTTAGTCAATTCACTTTACAGTATATTCTGTGAAGTGCTTTGAGACATCTCGAAGACCCGATAAGGCGCTGTATCAAATGCAAAGATTATTATTATTTTGTGTTCACTGGGTGTCCTTATTTGTCATTTTACCTATTCTTTACGGGGACTGCCAGGGCTGGACACGTGAAATAGGTCCAATTTAATATTGGAATTTAGGTTACACTTCCCTTTTCACACTGACATCGAAGCCTGTTACCAGGGTGATGGAAATGAGTACTAAAACAATGATGACAACGTGTATTTATTTATTCCATCCACTCATAATGACTTGGGAGCGCTTCACAGAAAAGATACCAGATTTCAAGTCAGGGAGAGGGTATGCACAGGACCAACCTGAAGTTTCACTGCCAAATGTGGCTCCAATACCTTTGAACCTACCACCTCCCCCTGACTCATTCTGCCCCAAGGCCATCCTGGAAGCCAAACATATTCTCAACCTCCTGTTTTCTAATACACGTCACCTCTTCCTCACTTCCCCTCAAACAGCCTCTATCTTCACGTCAGACACCAACGGAGTCCTGTAGCTCAGTGGTTAGAGCACTTGCCTTGCAAGCGAGAGGACCTGAGTTTGATTCCCGGGCAGGGCGAAATCTTGGGCAAGTTTCTTTACTCCACACACACGTCTCTGTTTACCTAGCAGTAAGTAGGAACCCAGTTGTTAGTCGATTTTCAGATCACTTTCAGGGGTGGTAATCCCTTCAAAAATAATAATAATAATAATTTGGTCACTCAATCCATGAGTGTTTGTGGGACGCTGCTGTTGGCAATTGACTGCCGCATTTTGCCCACAAAATGCACAGTCAAATCGCTTTACAGTATATTCTGTGAAGCGTTTTGGGATGTCTCGAAGACGTGACAAGGCGCTATATCAAATGCAAGAGATCATGGATTTCTTCGTATCTAAACTTAACTGCACTCACTTGGCTGCATCCTCTTGTTCTCCTCTGTTCTCCTGCCGTCACTTTGTTTCTGTGAATATAGCTGCGATGGAAAGAGTACAGTGTAGTTTTACTGGATGATACTAGGGTTGGCAGGTTACCGGTATCAGGAGAGACTGGCTAGGTTAGGCCTTTTTTTTTACTAGAGAAGAGACATTTAAGAGAGACCCCATAGAGGTGTTCAAAATTATAAAAGGGTTCAATAAGGTTAGCATAAATAGGCTGTTCCCACTGCTTGTGGAGTCCGTATCCAGGGGACATGAGTATAACATAGCGACGAGGGGATTCTCCTCCCTCCCCTTACTCCCCACCCTCTCCCCCTCTCCTCCTTGCCCCTTCTCCCCACCCCCTCCCCCTCTTCCACCCCTCCCTCCCCCTCTTCCCACCCCTCCCTCCCCCCCTCTCCTCCCTCCCCCTCCCTCCCCTCCCCCCTCCCTCCCCCCCCTCTCCCCTCCCCTCTCCCTCCCTCCCCCTCTCTGTGTGGTGTGGGTGTGATTCCAGACTCCAGTGAAGAATGAGAAGGTAAGGACTCCCACAGACCACAATCTCCTGCTTAAAATCTGGGTTTTTTTTCCTCTTTTTTTACAAAAAAAACGTTTGTTTGTGATTAAAAGGGGATTGAGTTGGTAACCGGAGTGAAGGTGAATCTGGAGACCCGCTTTGTTTGTTCCTAAGAGTTTTTTATTCCAGGGAAATGAACAGATGTTTAACTTGAATGAAACTTTAAAGCACAAATATTTATTTGGCCGGCTGTCCGGCTTCGGGAGATTTATAAGACCAAGTCATATATATATAAGATTAAAACAAGAAAAGAGTAGATTATTCCGTACTTTGAGTGACTATTGTCTCCCGAACAACTGCACAAATGAACAAAGGGTATGTGTCCTGAGCGGAGGGTGAAAGCACCAAGAATTAATTATTAAGAACGTGCGACTTCAGTTTCGAACCGGTTTTACAATCCAGTGGGCATTGGGTGAAGAGCTAAATGCGCTTATTTTTCTGGTGGAAGAAACCGAACGTTGCGAAAGCAAGATTTTTTCCTGCGCATTATGAAAGCAAAACGCGACACGAAAAGAATTTCTGGACATGTAGCATTGCCTTTTCGGTGTCGTGTTTTCAAAATGAACTGTCGGCATCTCTGCTAAAAAAAAAACCTGCCACAGCTGGTCCAAATCGTAGTTTTACCAGCAGTCGGGCAAAATTTTAAACTCTTGTGATAAGCGAGATTACAACCTCAAGTGAAAAATCTTCATCGAGGTGTACAGCGTTGTTTCCGCAAATGTTTCCGTTGCCATCACCTGAGGGGGACGCGGGAAGGGGTGTGGAGTGGGGAAGAATAAATTAACCCTACCTTTTTCTTACTGTGCAGAAAGTGAGTTTGATCGTTCAAAAGTTTGCCACACCTTCCACACGTCGTTTGGACGGTTGCCTGTTTTTTCACAGCATTGATTTTCAGCTCTTGTGTCATAGAATGCCGAGAATTATACAGCACGGAAGGAGGCCATTCGGCCCATCGTGTCTGTGCCTGGTCTTTGAAAAAAACTATACAAATCAACCCCTCACCCCCGCTCTCTCCCCATAGCCCTGATCAACCCCACTCCCCTGCGCTCTCCCCATAGCCCTGATCAACCCCACTCCCCCGCGCTCTCCCCATAGCCCTGATCAACCCCACTCCCCACTCTCTCCCCATAGCCCTGATCAACCCACTCCCCACTCTCTCCCCACAGCCCTGATCAACCCCACTCCCCCGCTCTCTCCCCATAGCCCTGATCAACCCCACTCCCCACTCTCTCCCCATAGCCCTGATCAACCCCACTCCCCGCGCTCTCCCCATAGCCCTGATCAACCCTACTCCCCGCTCTCTCCCCATAGCCCTGATCAACCCCACTCCCCCACTCTCTCCCACAGCCCTGATCAACCCCACTCCCCCGCTCTCTCCCCATAGCCCTGATCAACCCCACTCCCCGCTCTCTCCCCATAGCCCTGATCAACCCCACTCCCCCGCGCTCTCCCCATAGCCCTGCAAATTTGGAAGAGGAGCATTTTACAATTTATATTAAAAAAATTACATTTACAAACCCAGGTATATATTACAGTACATTACAGTAAACGCATAGTAACTCAAACCAGGCTAAACTTGTGACAACCACTTAAGTCACCATTGCTGCCAATATCCCACCACATTGATGTACTTATTTATACATCTGCCTACCCCACCACTCCACATGACTTGTCACTGAGCCCTTGGAGTAACGAGTTATCAGGAGGTTACTGTATATCCAGTACATTCTAACCTTTAATTATCTCCTGCCTTCCCAATTTATTTTCTTACAGAAATCTCTTATCTTTCCTTAGTTTCTAATCCAGATGCCTCTCCTCCACTTCCACACTCTTTCCATCATCACCTCCAGGGCCAAATGCGAGTAGGTCAAGGATTTAAAAACACATTGTCACTATCCAACTTCTCAAAAACCCTGCACTGGTTCCCTCCACCTCTTCAGCTTTTTCCTCCCCCCCCCACCCCTGGGATATACAGTACAAAATTACATTTGTATAGCGCATCGAGACGACGTCCCAAGGCGCTGGACAGTCAGGGATTTGGACCCGAGCAGAAGGGGGTAAGGTAGGAGGGTGGTCGAAGGGACGCTAAGGAAAAAAAGGTTTTGCGGAGATAAGTACTGAGGAACTATTTGTGGGCAAAAAGGCATGAATTTTGGATTATATTAAAGAATGTGAAAGGGGAAAGTTAGGATAAAACAATCTCCTGGAGGATTATAAGAGTTTGGAATTACTAATATTATTCCTGCGTCTGTCCCTTTTAAACCTCAATTTATACTATTTGTATTTATTTTGACATTCAGAAGAGTATTAAGTCGGCACAAGCGGAGGAAGGATCCATGAGTGAGTAATGGGAAAGAGCAGGGAATTGGGGTTAGGATAAATGGCTGCATTGGAGCAGCACTGATTAGGCCATTGTATCAGTGTCAACTGACCCTGAAACAGTGGCTGAAAGTTCTGCTATTTTGCAGATTTCTATGCTTTCTGGTTCTTCCGCATCGACTGAAACCATAACATTCGCTGGCATGCAAACTAATCAATAATTACAGAACTCTTGAGTGCAAAATTTTCCCCACATAATATCGAGTGGTATTGTTTATTCAGGGTGACCAAAAGTCGTGATGACTACCCTATTATCTAAAATAAACATCAGACATGGTAATGGCGTGACGACTGTGGGGTCACCCTGTACATACAAACTACAACACAGTTCAAATTTACGTTTATAAAGCGCCTTTGACATTGGCGCTTAAAGGAGCTTAACTGATTACTCAACACTTGCAGGGACATGCCCTTTGGTTTAGTCCTTTTGGAATAATTTCGAGCATTTCAATTGAACTGAAATCCTTTCACCGTGCACTTGGCTCCTAATAGCTCCTTGGGCTTCCAACGCTGCTGCTCTATCTAACAAATACCGTTGACTCTTGTCAATCTCCAGTTTTCTGACTCAGTATCAAAAAGATTAATTCATCAAATCCTAGGATCAGCAACTGGTTTTACCTTCGGTGACAGTCTGGTTCTCATGCCAGGGAAGGTAATTCCGGGATAGTAGGAAACCCAGAGGAATATTCCAGCCTGCTGTTCGTCTGGCACCATTGTGACAGCTTCTTTTACCCCTCAGCCGTCTGATATCCAGGCTTTCATCTCGCACTATTGCCACAGAATATAAGCAGCCACCTGGCACACAGAATGAAAGGAAGATGGTTGCACATTGCAGAAAGAATTATTAATTAAAGCTGCCAGTTATTCTTGGAGAGAGCAGAGGAAACTGACACATCTCAGCCACGGAAGATTAAATATTTTCCCTTGTTTTTCGACTCAGTATTAACTTCAAAAATTCCCAGCTGAGAATAAATAGCAATAATAATCTTGCATTTGATATAGCACCTCATCACATGTTCGAGACGTCTCAAAGCACTTCACAGAATATAGTGTAAAGCGTAGTGACCATATATTTTGTGAGTGCACAATTGCGCACGGCAGTGTCCCATAAACACTGGATTTTGTGACCAAATCATTATTTTTTTAAGAGATTATTACCCCCAGAAAAGCAAACCCAGTCAACTAACAATCAAGTTCCTACTTACTTCTCGGTAAACAGAGTGGTGTAAGGAAATTTGCCCAACATTTCGCCCTGCCCGGGAATCAAACCCAGGTCCTCTCGCTTGTGAGGGGAGCCTCCGCTCTAACCACTGAGCTACAGGACTCCACATCCTGTCTCTATTGAAATGTCACTATTAACCAATCAACGTTAACAAGGTTATCAATAAACTCTCTCGCCTCCTTCAAAGGACGACTCAAGACCCTCCTTTTTGACAGTGCCTTCAGCCACCCTCTGCCCTCCCTCATCCCAACCCTGACCCCAACCCCCCAGGCTCGGGTACTGATCCCTGTCCAGTGCCTTGGGACATCCTCCCAACGTTAAAGGCGCTTTACAAATGTCATTGTTGTTGTTGTATGAACTCTTCCCCACTTCAGTACACAGTACAAGTTCTGCACAGAACTCACCCTCTTGATATAGTTCTTTTGCTA